CCTAATATGTCTGCATGACGGGCTGGAGACAACAAAGAGTTATGGGCGATTTAAGAAATATTGGGGGAGCCATGTCACTCATAACTCCTCATAACTCTATGTTATATCCACCACTAGCTAAAAGTAATAGTTCATTAGAACCCTATCGGAATAATGTATCCAATGCATTATCCCGTTAGAGTTTCTAACTACGTTTCAGGGAGGTGAGTGTAATTATCGATACCATAAGGACCTTAAAATTATTTTAGCATACCTCAGGGGTGTGGGTGTAATTTACCCTAATAATAATAATAATAATAATAAAATATGCTAGTGCGAAAGTTAGGTGATAGATTCGTAATAAAGTGGGTGGGCACCGAGAGTAAATGGAGGAGTGGTTGGTTTGTTCTTCAATATAATGTTATTAATAATTGAAAAAAAAATAATTAAGAATTATTATTGATATATTTTGGTCATTAAATAAAGGGCATAGTACACTTGATGTAGATTGATACATAATGTTAATAACTTCAGATTTATAATAAGTTCAATTATATTGCATTTGGTGAAACGATCTAGAGTTGATTGGATAATCATTTATCCAAAAACAATGTTACCTATTTATAACAAGATTTCGTAAATTTAATACAATCACACATATTTATTGATGAAATTAATATTTAATTCCTTACATTATTGCATACAGAATACTCAATTAATTAATATTGCCTCTGAAAAACCGAATTTTCACCATGTGGACAGAGTGATATGGTGTAAATGAGCTGACGGATCGTGAGCTTGGTGGGTCGACTCGACAAAGTTCAAGATCAAACTCGAATTTTTCGAACACGAGCTTATTCTTAGTTGTTCATGAACTCGTGAGTTTTGCATCAAAAAAAAATATTCTTTTTATTTTTATTTTAAATATAATTAACATAAATTAAATAATAAAGGGTAAATTACAACAATCCTTGAGGTATGATAAAAGTACGAAAAACCTCTCATATTTGGATAATTACATCTACCCCTCAACTATGAATCTTCTTACATCTCCACCCTTATGGTGTCAAATTCCACACAACCATCTAGATTCCGTGGAAGGTGCCTCTAATTTGTACTCGTTTTCTGCAAAAAATCGGTTTCTAATGCACTACAATTTGATATATTAAAGCCAAAAACACATCTTATGATCATATTTCATCAAAATGTGGAGCTCGAATGGGAAAAAACGGGTACAAACTTGAGAATATTTCATATAATCTCGACGATTCCAAAAAATTTGAAACTGCAAGGGTGAACATGTAGGAAGATTTATAGTCGAAGGGTGGTTGTAATTACTCAAACAAAATGAGGTTTTCGTAATTTGACCATACCTCAAGAGTTAATTGTAATTTACCCAATAATAAATTCATATAAATATTTTTTTTTAAATTATGATCATTTTTTTTTTGTTATAATTTATAATAATATTACTAAAAGTTTAAAACAAATACAAACAATGGCTCAGGCTCGAGCTCGAGCCAAAAAAAAATATTCAAAGAGCTCGAACTCGTCAAAATAGATCGCATCTCAAGTAAATGAGGGATTCAACAATTATTAGATTTGTTATAGAATAAATTATATAACAATAATATAAGAACAACACTATTATAATATATGGGAAGGAAATGAAATAGTGAATAACCGAGAATTATCTGCTAATAAAATGAAAGTGGAATTGCTGTATTATTATTTCATCTAACTTGTGCATCTATTTATACTAACATTTCTACAAGCATGACAATGCAAACATTAAAAGATAGCTTCCTCAATTTGCCGCCACGTATCACCATGGTATAACAGATGGGTTGGCTATTCCATTCTTGAGATTTCTTAGTCCACAAGATTGCAATATTATATATTATAATACTCCTCTTTGGACTAAGAATTGTTAGTAGCGGCTATAACTGGATAAGTAAAATGTATGCCTCGTTAAAAACCTCAAGCCGGAAAACCCAGTAGGACAAAATCGATCAAAAGGGACAAAGAGTGCATAACTTGAATCCAAGCCGTGTGCATAAGCTGCCTCGTTAAAAACCTTTGCTGGAAAACCCAATGAGACAAAACCAGTCATAAGGAAAAAAGAGTGCAGCGCACCATTACTCCCCTTGAAATGAGCAATTTGGCTTTCGAACTGGTTCGTCAATCTTGCTTCACATTGGCTCTTCTCATTCCAATGGCGTATACCAACTTCTCAAACGTAGAAGTCGACAAGGACTTTGCAAACAAATCAGCAAGATTGTCGCATGAGCGAACTTGTCGAACATCGATCTCTCCATTTTTCTAAAGCTCATGTGTGTGGAAGAACTTTGGTGATATACGATTGGTCCTATCACCTTTTATGTATCCACCATTTGTTTATCTGACTCTTCTCTGCACTATATAATTAACATTATCATGGCAGTAAACATGTCTGTTAAATCAACAAGACGTACCTGCAACATTGCAAAAAAATGTTCACTATTATAATCATCATAGACAATCTATTGAATAATTGAGAATGTAAAAATATTATTGATGATTATATCATTTATATCACATATTTCATTGAAATAACTTATGGAATTCTCGGTATTCCCGAAATTTGATAACGACTTTTCGATATCAGGCTCAAAGATTCATCTGGAGCATTCTCACTAGGAACCACATGGTTCGAGGGTTCGTCGATTTTCCCTTTAATTTTCTAGGAACAATGTCCTTTGATCCAATAGGTCTACCCCATTTTTGTCGTGGGGATCATCATTCATTTTCGCATGTTCTTCATGAACATCGATCATAGCTGGAACATTCGCAGCTGGAATATAATACTTCGTGAGTTTACTGGCATCATTAAATTAAATGCATGAGGAAGTCTAGATGAGATAAATGTTGCTCACACCATGTGATATTCTCGATTGGTTTTTGTTTATCATTATCACGGATATTCTGAATATCCTTACCAATCGGTATAAATAATGTCTCATCAAAGTGATAATCCGCAAATCTAGCGGTCAATAAATCACCCGTCATTAGTTCCAAGAACCTAATAATTGACGGTGAATCAAACCCAACGTATATGCCAAGATGTCATTGGGGACCCATTTTAGTCCTATGAGGAGGAGGAATATGCATTTGCACAGCGCAACCAAATGTGCGAAGGTGCGATATATCGGGCTCGAAGCCTAATGCCAATTGCATTGGGGAATGCATACGATAAGCAGTGGGGCATAAGTTAATCATTGTTGATGCATGCACTACTACATGGCCCCGGCCCATGCTGCACTAGTGAGTGTATATCTCGTCAGCAAAGCACGAGCAATTATTTGGACGCGTTTAATCGAAGATTCCGCTAGTCCATTTTGAGTGTGAACGTATGCTACTGGGTGCTCGACATTTATTTCCAGAGCTGGACAATAATATGTGCCAGCAAACGCGCAAATGCTATATTTCGCGTAGATAAGCATACGTAGTATCATTAGGCAACATAATTGTTGCATTCCCGGAGTCATCTAATATCTCCACGGGATCTGATAAGATTTTAACTTGTGCCTTGCACAATGTCACACTCGAGAAATATATTTGATTATTGATAATTGAGTGTGTAGTTGCGCTATCGAGTAGGCAATAGTCATATTTGTCCATGTTTTTCATGTACGCGTATCACAATCAGCTCGACCTCGGGTATTTATCCTCCAAGGGAGATATGTACATATGAGTTTACCCAAAACAACTCGATCTTGGGAATCACACCATCCAAGAGAGGTTAAACATGTATACACACAAAATAACTCAATCTCGGGAATCACATCTTCCGAGAGATATATATACACTGGGTACAAAATAACCCAAAACCCTTTAAATTTAGCCTTGTGATTAATAGCCTCTAAGTTGGCTCTTGACGGGTTTTACCTCGTCAAGCGACTCTACGAGCTTCAGGCTCGGAGATATATTCAGATATTTCGCCTTTAAATCGGCTTTTGACGGATATTATCACGCCTTAACTCAACGAGCTTCAAGCTCGGAGATATATTCAGATATTTGGCCTTTAAATTAACTTTTGATGGATATTATCACGTCTTAACTCAACAAGCTTCAGGCTCGGAGATATTTTCAAATATTTGGCTTTTAAATCGAATTTGACGGATATAATCATGTCTTGACTCAACGAGCTTCAGGCTCGGAGATATATTCAGATATTTGGCTTTTAAATCGGCTTTTGACGGATATTACCACGTCTTGACTCAACGAGCTTCAGGCTCGGAGTTATATTTGTGATTTAGCCTCTAAATCGGCTTTCTTATCTCTACTAGTTTAATCTCGGAGTTATAGTAACAGTTTAGCCTTTAAATCGGCTTTCTTGTTTCAACGAGCTTCAAGCTCGGAGCTATATTAAAGATTTAGCCTCTAAATCGGCTCTTGTCTCAACGAGCTTAGACTCGGAGTTATATTTGATTTACTTGACGGGAATTCCAACGTCTCAATTCAACGAGTTTATCCGCTCGGAGTTATAGTATGACATCTATACGGTCTCTGTTAAGCTCTACAGGTACTGTGCCCGGAGTTAAAACGATAGCCTCTAAATCGGCTTTAAATGGAGATTATTATTTCCCAACTCCACGAGCTCGTGCTCGGAATTAATCTCATAGTCTCTAAATCGACCTTTAACTGAGATTATTATATCTTTTACTCGACGAACATTATGCTCGGAGTTAATATCTTGGCCTCTACGTCGGCCAACAGATCTGTTAAAACTAGCACGTGCTTATAGCACTGCTTGGGATCCACAAGCTTGCAAATATAATTTCAGCAGCAATTCAACAAATAAATAAGCAATAGATTAATATACACGATATCCATCAGATCCTTTGAGAAATGATAGCGTATAAAATACCGAAGTATTCGCTAATCATTCTTGTTTGTTTTTTCGACAATAGATCGAGGATCTGGATTTTCGTAAAATAAAAAAGAAAGAAGAATACGAAAATAGCAAATCTCTATCGAGCTGATAACATGTTATAGAATAAATTATATAACAATAATATAAGAACAACACTATTATAATATATGGGAAGGAAATGAAATAGTGAATAACCGAGAATTATCTGCTAATAAAATGAAAGTGGAATTGCTGTATTATTATTTCATCAACTTTATACTGAGAATAACCGAGAAATAGTGAATAACCGAGAATTATCTGCTAATAGAATTATCCATCTATTTATACTAACATTTTCCTCAATTTGCCGCCACGTATCACCATGTACCAACAGATGGGTTGGCTAGAATGAGATTTCTTAGTCCACAAGATTGCAATATTATATATTATAATAAGATTGTGATTTTTTTTTTTCTTTTTTTAATATAAAGATATGGTCCAAATTTGTGTTATTTTTAATACTTAATTATGAAAGATGATTAAAATTGGAATAAGACACCTCCAATTCTGAGCAGATGGATAAGAAAGAAAGAAAAGAAAGATTATCTGATTTCCATTTATAGCCAATGATTAATTAATCTATATTAACAAACGTCCAAACACTTTGCCATTATCTATCCATACTTGAGTAGTGTGTCTGTATATAAACTTTACTACAGAATCCTATGATGCAAGATTTGAAAATGGAGAAGAATGTAAACGTGTGCGTAACTGGTGGTGCAGGCTACTTGGCTTCTTTTCTTGTCAAGCAGCTTTTGGAGAGGGGCTACGTTGTTCATGCCACACTCCGTAGTCTAGGTACTTTGATTCCATGGTCACAAGGTGTTTGTTTTTATGCCTGACTGAAAAAAAAAATCCTGTTTTGGGAAATTTTCTTTCGTTGATGATGATGATGATGATTTGCAGGTGATGCCTCGAAGGTGGGCTTACTAACGGGGCTTCCTCATGCAGACACGAGATTGAAACTTTTCGAAGCTGATATATACAATCCTGATGAATTTGCACCTGCCGTCGACGGTTGTGAAATCGTGGTTCATATGGCCACGCCTTTGCAACACTATACGAACAGCTCTCAGGTTTCGAAGTTGCCATAATTTCGAAGTTTTTCAATGTTATGTTTCTTGATGTATTTTGCTCTGTAGTTGTGAAACCCTGATATATCTAGCGCCCCTTATAGTGATCGCGATTAGGGGTGTAAACGAATCGAGTCGAGACTGAACGCATGTTTGTCAAGCTCGCTCGAATTTTTCTTGATATTTCGGCTATAGTAGCGTTCATTAGAATCAACTGTCTGAATTTAGACAGTTTCAAAATTCTCCAAATTTAGAATTTTCAATAGTAGGTTTCGTGATTTAATTGCTATCTAGTTGTGAAATCCTGATATATCTAGCACCCCTTATCCTAATCTGAATTAGGGGTGTAAACGAATCGAGTTGAGGCAAACGCAACCTTGTTCAAGCTTGTTTGAATTCTTATTGAGCTTTCAAAGTCGAACTCAATCGACTCGATTTTTTGAGTAGCTTGGTTTGATTTTCAGCCCTAATAGATATAAATGGAAGTAGAATCAACTGTCTAAATTTGGACAGTTTCTTTATGTAAATCTCGACTTATAGCTTGTTATTTTGCAATTTATTAGGTAAATTAAAAAAAAAAAAAAAATAATAATGAATTGTGGGTTCTTGAAATTGTGTGTTATATGCTTGTTAATGCAGTACAAGAACACAAGTGAGGCAGCGGTAGCTGGGGCAAAAATAATAATGGAAAGCTGCACGAAATCCAATACCGTGAAGAAAGTTATTTACACCGCCTCTGTAGTAGCATCTTCGCCCTTAAAAGAAGATGGCTCCGGATATAAAGATTTCATGGACGAAACTTGTTGGACCCCTCTCAATCTCTCGTACGACCAAATGCTCTCCGTACGTTATAATATTTACCTCCTCTTCCATTCTTGAATCAAAAGTTTACTATCACACAAAAAAAATTTAACATTCGATGTATGTGAATTAGGACTATGTACATTCGAAGACGTTGGCTGAGAAAGAAGTGTTGAGTTACGACGGGAAAAACGGGGTGGAAGTTGTGAGCCTGGCTTGTGGGCTTGTGGGAGGTGATACTATTCAGTCTTCGGTGTCGGAGAGCATGGGTGCCCTTATTTCGCAAGGTACAAACGATGGATCGAGGTACAAAATTTTGAGGTTTTTGGAGGAATTGTTGGGGAAAGTGCCTATTGTACACACTCGAGATGTGATTGAAGCACACATCTTCTCGATGGAGAATTCTAACGTACATGGGAGGTTTCTATGTGCTAGTGATTTCTTGAAATCGGCTGAGATTGCATCTTTGATTCGGAAAAATCGACCAAACATAAGCATCCATCAAGAGTAAAGATTTTTTTTATTATTTGATTTTACATAAGTAGTTGTGTTTTTTTCTTCCAAATTAAATTTCTTGAGTTTATTTAACAGGTTCATTGAAGATACAGAGAGAGAAACTAGGTGGGGTTCAAGAAAGCTGGAGGATTTGGGATTTTGCTACAAATTTGATTCTCAAAAGATAATAGATGATTGTCTTCTCTGTGCTCAGAGATTGGGTGACATCATCTTGTGAATTTCTGTTATATATATATATATATATATATATATATATATCACTTATTATATTTTATGATATAAGTTATAACATTGTAGGTTGAAGAACTACTTTAGAGGCTATTTATTGGCTTTAATTTATATAAATTACAAGAAAAATAATACAAAATGATTTCACAATATTTTTTTTCTTAGAAAAATAATAATTGATGAAAGGTACAAATATGTAAAACCAGACAATTACACTTGTAATAAAGTTACTATGACAAAAACAGAGCTGATTACATTACAGAGTACTAAAAAAAATTCTGCCTAGTTAAGGAAAATTCTCTTGGTCAGCATCTCCTATTGGTATGAACAAATCCTAGAAAATTCCTTGTGATGCTGCTAGGATCGATACGTACATGCAATCGACATAAGTACCTCTCTTTCTTTTTTTTTTTTTTTTTTTTTACCGGCACGATATTTGCTTTCGTGGTAAAAGAATGGAAGCAGTAGAGATGTGGAGATTATTAAAAATATTCAGGGGCGTCGAGAAAATGTGAATCGAAATCCACCTGATCAATCGAGAAATCCAAGTCTCCAAACGTGAAATCCGTAAACGGGGTAGGGTTCGAAATTATCTCGGTAAAATCCGATTCCGAGCTCTGCAAGCAAACACCAAAATCGTTCATCGAGAAGTACGACTCCGATGTCGCCGGAGACATAAACGGGGTTCCGGAAAAGTTTCCGGGGTCGGAGAATAACTGGGTTTCGAAGTTTTCCGATTCGATTGGTGTGGAATGAAAGGAAAAGGAAGGGAGACGGTCGTTTTTGGTGCCCGTTTCTTGTTTTTGAGGTTTGGGGCTTTTTTCAATGGCTTCTTCTTGTTCTTCTTCTTTCTTTAGTACAATGGGATTTTCTTTCTTCGGTTTCGATCTCTCTTGCATGCAACTGTGTTTGCCGCTATAAACAACCTCGAAAATCGAAGGGTCTTCGTCTGCTTTTTGCACGTGTTTTGTTGCCAAGCATCCTTGTGTATTGCGATGCGTACATCGATAATAAGCCCTGAAAAATCCCAATCGAATCAGAAAAAAATACATAAACAAGATTCTTAATTTCCACAAAGATCAACATTTCATTCAAGCCAAACATAAATCAATTGCTACTTCTCTGTAGGGCTACTAGTTCAACATCTGCCGTTTCTCACGGGCTAGTTGTCGAATAGTCCAAAATCGAGTTTTTTTTTTTTTTTTTTTTTTTTGTCACATCAGATAAGAAATTGCAAAGCAAGTGGATATGTGTACATATGAATGAATAACTAGTCAGCAAATTGAACAAGTTCTGCAGTACAGCACCAACAATTGAATTGAATACACAACAACAACCATATCCGAATATTACTTCCCAGTAAAAATCAAATTTATCTAACCTTAAAAGTAACAAAATTCACAACCTTTTTAACTCCAAAAAAAACTCAAATAAACTTCAAGAAAATAATCAAGAAAAAAAAAAAGATAAAGAATTAACAATCATCACCTTGGATGAATAGCCCCTAAAATAACTTTCTGGCCATATTTCCTCCAATTGTAGCCATCTCCAATTTGACCTTCAAACCCTGCCCCAGATGAAATACGCACGTGCTCGCTCCATTTTGGCAGTGTCTTTCTGCAAACAATAAAGAAAACAAAAGAAAAAAGTTAAATTAAAGCAAATCCCATTATCTGTGTGTGTGTGTGTGTGTGTGTGAACATGGCAAAAAGAAGAAAAGTGGGCTGGCTACCTTTTCTTGGATTTGTGGATTTGATGATGATCTTTAGAATTCTGGTGAGAGCCTTCACTGATAGGGCTAGCATCAAATGAATTGGCAGTAACGATTTGGGAAGAAAGGCAGCTGTTTTTTAGTTGAGACATATGGTCGAGCAGGTGGAGTGCATTCTCGTACGAGGAAAGTATGCTCTCCAGTAAAACATCGCACGCTTCTATGGAAGAGATGGCCGGGTGAAGCTGATTCTTCAGCTCATTCGCCCTTTCTCTCCCTTCAGTCAGCACACTCACCACTGTTGTCCTGTCCCAACTTCCAATTGCTCCCATTTTTTCAATTAAAAAAAAAAAGGATTAGATTTTTTTTCTGGAATGGTCACCGGAAGAAACTCTGGATTTGTAACGGAAAACAAGCTCGTAATCATACACACAGCGAATCCCCAATTTTGTATCAGAAATTCAGAGGACCCATGTAAAAGGGTTCATCAGAATCTTTGGAATTTTTTTTTTTTTTTTTTTTTTTTTTTTCTGAAAGTTGATCAAGAAGAAACAGAAGAAATGGAGATGGAGAAGTGGTGTTGCTAATGAAGGAAGGAGGGAGTGGGGGGAGATATAAAGGAGGGATGACGTGGACAAGGGGGGGATTTTTCACTAAATTAGGCACTTTGGATTTTTTTATTTTTTTTTGGAAAAAATAAAATTAATTTAATTATTTTCTTAATTTTTTACTCTTTTTCATAATAGAACAGAGATTGTAATAATTTCTTGCTGACCATTTCAAAGGGATTCATACCACACCACCACAGTGTAACATGGGTTTTTATTTTTTGTTTTTATTTTTTTTTATTTTTCATTAGATTAATACTATTTAGTTCTCAAATTCAAAATTTTTATGTGCTAAATTATGTTTGGAATTGGATAAATTTGTATAGTTCATACGATTTATAATATAGTATTCTGCTAAAATAATGTCGTCGAATGAAAATTTTGAGAGGATAGAAGAGTTGTTACTATGAATATTTATCGAGGCTCTTGTTATGTATTTAGCCAATAAAGGAGTTTAATTAATTAAGCTTTGGTGGTAATCAAGACATAAACATTTTTGGCCTTTTGTGGATACTTTGAACTTTAGAATCCAAATTTGCTTAATTTGTTTGAGCAAATATTTAAAAGTATATATTCTTTTATATCAAGTTTTAAGAATATTATGTTCATAAAGTTATTTGATTCTACATTCGATAAAATACAGCAAGTGATTATTAACTCCTGATCTGCATATAATCACATACTTAGTAGACGGTTATTTATTAGCAAAAGTTTAATTTGAGAATTATATAAAACAAACCTTTTAATAATTAATATGTTAAACTTTCTTGGCAATTTCATAGTACAAATATTATTATCCATAGGCATGGAATTCAAAAAAGGAATTGAAGGGACAAAAACGATATATGCATTGAAAATAACACAATCATAGAACTTTCTATGAAATTGGAGAAAAAACAAAAATAAATAAATAATAAATAAATAAAAAATAAATAAAAAGAAAATCAAGCGAGAAAGTCAAGAAAAGGAAGCATTCCACGAAGCTCTCTACTCGTTTCCGCGTTGGTAGCTTTTTCCATTTAACGTGTCTTATTATTTATTATTTATTATTTTATTTATTTTATTTATAAATAAATATACATCCTCTCGATTTTATGGATAAAAACTGAAATTAAATGAATAAAATATTACTGACGTCATTCGATGATTAAAAGGATGACGTAATTATTAATCCTTTTCTTACGTCTGAAAATAAAAGAAGCATGAGAGCATGATCTACAACAAAATAATAATATTATTTATTATTATTATTATTTAATAACATACTATTTTTTTATTTGTTCTGATCATTAATCTGAATTAAAGTTTTAATTAAGATAAATGCAAACCTCTAACAGTAGTGTAATTGCCACAAGGGCCCTCGTGATAATGGGAAATTAGCAAAAAGGCCCTTAAGATATAAAACATTCTTTTTTTTTTTCTTTTTTTGGACTTAAAAAAAAATTAATCAAGTACACATTAAAACTTTTATTATTTCCAAAAATAGACTACTAATTAAAACCTCGTTTGCTCTCAAAACAAGATTAGTCAAAATAATATTATATAATTCTATAAAAACCCAAATAATTGAGATGCTTAATTTTATTTTATTTTTTTGGGGGCATTTTTGTATATAGTCTATCCAAAGTATTTTATGCATGTAATAATTGAAGTTGTAGAATCTTAACTATCACTAGAAAATAATAATAATAATTTATAATTAATTTGAAGTAATTATATAAATTTTATTCTTCAAGAGATTACCTGTCCACTAAACCTACTTACTAGGATTATTAATCAATAATCACAGAATTATATAAGATGTGTTATTGATGCCAAAAGTCAGATTCTGTTGATAACTCTTTGAACTAATTAATTATTTAATTTCCCGATTAAAAAAAAAAAATTAATCATTTAAATAAACAGTGGGATTAAGTGCAACCCTCTTAACCATATACACAGTACCACAAGCCAAATTGCTAATATTTTAATTCCAAAGAATTTATTTCCAGATAAATACGCAGATTTTCTAGATTCTTTCTCTTAGTTGACATTTTTTTCCACATAAAAAAAATTATAAATATTTAAGTTAAATAATATTTAATGGGCCAGGAGGAACAGTATTAAATAACTAATTAAGTGGGGTGATCAAGATTAAAATGGTATTATTAAGGCTTAAGCATTATTAGTGTATAGTTAATTCAGTTTACGCGTCCATATTATATATAGTTTTTGGAGAAAATATATAATTACGCGTCACTAAAGAAAAGGGCAATTGTACGATTTTGCTAAAATACGCTTCATTATTACAATATCTAATCAATAAATCTTTGACTTAGTAAACTATAATCACATAAATCCACAACTTAATAACTACATAGTGGACTGAATAAACTTACACTCTGAGTAATAGCTTGTAAATTATACGAGAGACGTAAATCACACTAGACTAATCATGTACGATAAATTCGACCTAACGATCGTTGGCAAGATAAATCAAACTTATTACTTATTAGTGCTTAATAAAATGTCCCTAAATCCCAAGAAAAAAATGGTATTTTCTCACTACTTCAGGGTTTGTAGATTGTACATCACTACATCCGATGAAATACATCAGATAATTTTAAATCATAGATCTACACGTAATAATAATTAATAACACAAACCAGAAATTACTGCAATTTATTGGTAATAAAATAATAGAAAGCTCCAAATTTGATGTGACTACTCTACCACTTGTGATTAATTAAAATTTAGAAATCCACATGATTCATTCGTCCAAAACTTTTGTAGTGGGGATAAACACAGTACAAATGTTCTATTTCGTACGAAGAAGATAGAAGAAAATGGACAAAATGGGAAGGAAAAAAGTTTACAGGGGTCATCTTTTAATATTATTAACTTTATATATTTCATGTGAAATTTCCAAGTGGGGACAAAAAGAATTTGGATTATTTATATGTGGTCACAGAAAACCATGTATTGCAACTTTGTAGGCGTTTAGGCGTGTGGGGTTTCGTATATTCATTTTGCTACATCTTTACATTTTTCTTTCCTATGTGTATACCAACTCAAAAATTAAAAAAGAATATATAAATAGTACTTTATACTTTTAATTATTTTCCAGTCCTAAAACAATTTTAAAGTTCAATTTTGGCCCCAAAGTAGTGTTGTTCGTTAGATATGAACAAAACGTGTTTAAAATTAAACTTTCTAAGTAAATTTTGTTCACTTTGAAACAATGGGGACCAAAAATAGAATATGGTGAAACATGAGGGGCCAAAAGTGCGACTCTCCCTAAAAAGTAGGGACCTAATTGTAAATAAAACATGACATGGGGAGTGAAGTGCAAAAAGTAAAGTCTAAAAAACTTCCACATTATATCCTTCAGCAGCAAAAAAATCACAAAAAAAAAAAACCAACCTATCAAGTCCAAAAACTTTCTTGTGGTTCAAGTGCTAATTAACTAGCAACTACGTTCGCACGACGAAAAAAACTACTTGATCGAACCGAAATTAACTCCTAATAAATCAGATTTCGTTAACACAGTAACGAGTTTTAATTTTGCCAATCATTTGTGCAGCAGCCGATTCCCTTGCTTCTACGGGAGTGGACCCCGCACTACCCTCCGTCGACAGCTTCAAATCGTTACTTTCCACCGCCACATTCGACAGAAATTTACCTAATCATAAAAAAAAATAAAAAATATGCAGCTTAAAAATCGATATAATATATATCACACGAATTCGTCGGCTTATTTTTTTTGAGAAGGAAGAAACGAAATTTATCGTGTTTTACCATTTGATGGCACGACGGAATATTTCGGCAGCCTCCATTTATTCTTCACACATATATACTCCAAATCCTGACAATATAATACACATTGTTTTAATTTAATTATTTATTTATTTTAAAAAATTAAAAAAATAAATAAAATTTATATAGGAACATAATATTATAACTCACTTCACATGAAGATTGACCAGGGAGAAAAATTTCCGGTAATTTTGTTTGCTTCTCGGATTTACAGTTGTCGTCATTTTCATTCTTCAGCAGCAAATGAATCTTCCCAGCTTCGATTGATTCGGTAAATTTACGAGCTAAACCAACTTCACCACCTTTCGAAATATACAAATTTCAATTTATTTATTTAAAAAAAAAAAAAGCAAAATCAACAAAAGATAAAAAAGACTGCGAAAAAATGGCGTACCATTCCTTAATCGTTCAATGAGATGATCATATAATGCACACTCATCTTCCATAGTGCAGATTTGAGTACACTGCCACGAAAAAATATAAAATTATGACACGAAACTTATTATAAATTTTAAACTGAAAAAAAAGAAAAAAAACATTACCAATTGTTGTCTTTTATGATAAAGAATTGCCAAAGCAATCTCCAGATACTCCGAATCCTGCACATTTTTCGCTTCCGTATTATCGGACAAGATTTCCACGTCATCATATTCCTTTCTTGCATTACTATTATCCTCACTAATAATCGGTGAAACCTTCGGACATCCACTCGGACTTCCATTTTTTTCCGCGTCTCGAGTTTTTTTCCCACTATTCGGTAATAAACCCTTTTTAGCAGAATCCCCATTGTCAATATTATTGTGATTTCCCGTCGCAGTATTATTATTATTATAGTCTTTCGATATACTCCTTGTTAACGAACGGGTACTACGTTTGTCACTGTCGTTATCTCGATTTTCGAGGCCGATGTTGCTTTTGGTTTTGCTCGCGTCCCTTTTAGCGGAATTGTTGGATTTTTTGTTCGATTTGTTTGCGAAAATCCCACCTTTTTTCGATGTAGAGATGTTTCCGGAACTTTCTAGTGAATGTTTCAACTTCTTTTGACCTTCTTCACCATTCTCGTTGCCTATATTTTCATCAATGCCATCGTTCGAAGAAGCCGAAATCGGTACACTGCTTCTAAAAGGTTCTATTAAAATCGGTACACATAAATCTTTCCTGCAACATTATACGCAAATCTCAATAATCAAGAAATTCATCGATGAAGACAATTTATATATATATAAAATAAAATTAAAAAAAAAAAAAAAAAAAAAAAAAACGAATCAAGAAAAATTGTTCGTAGAAATCGTACCTAGGCAGCCAAGACGAGATGAAGGGCAAGTAAGGAAACATTTGACAATACTCGATTATATTTAGTATAGTCGACCAACTACCATCGAACTTTTCAGCCAAAGGTCCTTGCAAACTGCAAAAACATCGTAAAACTAAATAATATAAATAAAACTCTTACAGCAATTTTGATCTTACGAAACGAGTATTAATTATCGAACAAACCTCTCAACGAGAAAATCGAGAGGAACTGTCTGGTTTTTGTTAAATGTCTGAGAGCATTCGATCATATAAAATTTAACAGCCGACTTTTCTTTGCTCAACGAATACGTAACATGAATTTCCAATACCGCAAGATCGGAACTGTCGAAACCTGCTCAACAGATTCAAAAAAAATCGAGAGTTCTTACAACTGTCAATAATAATTAATAATTCTTGATTAATGGATAACGAGAGATGTGAAATACCAGTAATAGCCTTGACGGAATCAAAAGCAAGCTGCAGAAGAGACTGACTATCGTTATCCAACACCGCCTTTCGTTTCCTCTTATTACCGACATTGTTTTCTTCCTGCAATGTTTCGTCACTAACCTCCTTCTCGATTAGCGACCAGACGCCTTCGGTGGCGGAACCGAACTGCAGCAAACAGTTCTCTCTCTTCGAGTCTATCAGCAAGACAGCAACTTTTGATACCGGACAATTTTCGATGGTCGGAAAATCTTTATTCGCATCTAAAGCTTTAGAGATATCGCACGCATTTTTTATTGACTTTTCGGTTTCTGAAAGCCCGTTTTCGTTACCGTCGAACTCGATTGACTCGCTCTCGTTGGTGAATTTCATGAACGGGATAAGATTCGGTCGGAGTGACAGAGCAAGCTTAGAGAAGGGGACGAAATCGAGGAATTCGAGTTCGGGTTTTTGCTTCCTGTGGTAGTAGTTGTAGAGCACAACAACTGCATGCATCTACAATGTAATCGAAAATACAATGTAATCGAAAATATATACAATGTAATCGAAAACAAACAGAGAGATCAATAATAAAGATAATTATTATATTATTACAACATTTGTAAGAACACAATAAAAAAATTAACCTGTCTGGCAACAGATCTATGAGCATCTTCGTCCGGAGGGTCGTCAATCGAAACACTCAAAGGCAACCTAGGATCGACGAGGGTTTCGATAAATGCCTGAACCACCTCCTCTGTGGGGCCCACCTCCCATTTTGGCGGCGGCGCCGCCGTTTCTGCTGCCGGAGGCATTGTAGAACCTTCTGTGAAGTACACAAAACAGACACCCCAAGAAAATAAATGAAATAGGAAGTTAAAAGAGTTGATTTTTATTGTGTTACAACATCATTTAACATTTTTAATAAGCAAATAATCAGCCACGAAGTACAGAAAATCAAGATTACAGAGGAAGGCCAAGAAACAGGGGAAATCAATAAAATAATAATAAATTAATCAAAAGGGCCTAAAGAAAATGAGCAAATAATGTAAGCAAAACAAAACTTGCATGATCAAGAAACACACACACACACACACACACACACACACACACACCCCAACGTGGGTGTGTGTGTGAAATAAAGAAGAAGAACAACAAGAATCCAAGAAAAGGGGAACAATGCTAGAGAGAGAAAAAGGGTTTACGAATCAATTAAACATGCACAATATTAATATCTTCATACCAGTTAATTATCACAGAAGGTGAGAGCAAAAAGTAATAACTGCGTATTTCTGTGTGTGGGGGGGAGAAAGAGGGTTTTTTATGAAGACGAAGAGGCGCGGTGAAGAGCAGTGTGTGTAGTGTGTGAGTGTGTGTGTGTGTGTGGTGTCGTTTCTTGGAATTCGTAAATGTAGTGTGTGTGTGTGTGTGTGCAGAGATTTGAGAATGAAAGATCACTTTTTTAAGTTCTTTACAACAATTGGGGAAAGGTGCCGTTTGATGGCAAATTAATTGCTTTCTTTCTTCACGCTCCCTTTTGTATTGTTTGATCAAACTCTGATTTCCTATTGGTTTTATTTTTATTTTTATTTTTTTTGGTGTCATGTTGTATTTAATGATAATATGAACAAAATTAATTTATAGGACAAAAGAGGTAATGAAATGTGATGATTTTGGATTCAAGTGGTTGAATTGATAATCAATTAAAATCCATCACAATTGCTATACAAAATTAAAAAATTAAAAATTAAAATGAAAAAAAGGGTAAATTACGGCCACCCCTGATATAAAGTTAAATTACGGAAAAACCTTTGATATTTAGATGATTACAATCATTCCTCTCAATTATGAATCTTTTTATACATCGTCAAATTTAGTGGAATATTCTAGATCTGAAAGTTTGGTTCACCCAAATTTTCAGATCTCATTTTTTTTTTCTTTTATTTTTAGTTTTTAATGAATTTAAAATTCACAAAATATTAAATAAGAAGAGATTTGATTTGACTTGGGCCGATTTTTTATGGATCGACTAATCCAATCCAATTTTTGAAATTTCCTTTGTTCATGGATTGCAAATCTCAATAATTATAGGTACACAAAAAATATAAAATTAATTCATTTTGTGTGTTTTAATGAATTTCAAACTTTCTACTATGCGTAGCTTCTTTAACAAAAATAACAATTCTCAAAAAATAAAAAATAAAAAAAATAAATCAAATCAAATTCTGGTACTAACCTTGAAAGTACTCTTGCCACAATTACATGATTGGAATCTCACTTGAAACAATTTTTTTATAGTAATTTTGGATATAAAAATAAATCTGAGTTCCAAAAATCGATTGATAATCAATTGAGCGAAATCGCCATTGAAGCAGAAGAAGTAAAACGAGAAGGAAGAAAATGGAAAACTTTATTAAGGAAAATTAATGACAACGCTCCCAAAGCAAACTCGTATTTATATCCAGCTGTGTCACACATGACAAATATTATAACGAAAAGACGCTAATACATAAAGAATAAATACGAAAAGAGAAACGCGATTTTACAAAGAGCGTACGTGTATTCTAATAGTTGTCAAAGTGTGATTGGTTGATTGCATTTTCATCTAAAATTTCAATTAATGAGTTAATGTCAAGAATTTCATGAAATGTGAGAAAACCCATCATTTAATTGATTAATTAATTAACTATTATTTGCATAAAATTGTTGATAAATTGTGCATTAGAATCTCACTAATTAACCCAATAATACAACTGGATTATAATAGGATTATTGCATAATCCAATCTTTGGGTACAATACTTACCTACTAAACATAAACTAGATATATATAATAGACTAATAAATTTAGAGTTATTACACATAATTAGGGTTTAAATTTTATTTATTAAACCAAAAATAAAGTCAACGATAATTATTTTTTCCTAGTTGTTTGTGGCACCCTGTTGACTTTAAAAGTGTCACAATTTATCCAAAATCTTTCAATCTCTTGTGCAGTCCTCCCTGGAATTCTTCCTGCTATCAATTCCCACCTGAACAAAATTATAAGTACACATTTATAAATAAATAAATAAATAAATTTTAAATTTATAGAATAAAAAAATCACCAAAATAAAAAAACATCTAGACTTTTTTGAAAAGAAAAAAAAAATCTAGACCATAAATCGTGTTATATGCACTGGCTGAGTCATAATTTTATGCATATTGAAAACCTCTACGTGGGCCCCACGAGCGGTTATACAGAACCGAGTAGATGCTTACTTGTCTCCAACGAGCTTGTGCATTCGAAAGATGATATCTTGTTCTTGCTCACTCATGCTTGTCAACTCACATCCATTACTTCTATCCTCTGCACCCCAAAATTATTATTAATATTATTAATAATAATAAATAAATAATTATAATTATATTATTATTGAAAAAAAAAGAAAAAAAAAAGACAACAACCTTGAGAGGAGGAAAAGGTTTGAACCATAGTTTTATTATTATTATCCATAGTGAGTTTGAGAGTGAAGTTGAGAGTGATAAAATATATGTATATATATATATGTGCTTATTTATAGCAAGAAATATGTATAGATAAATAGATAGATAGATATATAAAGAAGTGTAAGTATATAGTTGGGTGGGTAAAGAGATGGGAATATATGAAGACAAGAAAAAAAAAAGATTGGTAAGAAAAGGAGAAGAAGAGGAAGTTGGGTGCTGGTTGGTCTTTCTTTCCTTTACAAATTCAAATTCAATTTTAAATTAAATAAAAAAAAATTGTTGACTAACTGTTGTTGCTTACCATACTATTCTCGTTATTAATAAGCTACCACTATTTGGAACCACTTGTCCTTTTTTACCTCTTTTGTTTTTTTTTTATTATATTTTTTCGTAAATTACGGTCGAATTACGACCACCCATCTACTATGAATCTTCTTACACGTAACTTTTATGGTGTCACATTCAACAGAAATCTTATAGATTCCGTGGAATATTCTCTAGTTCGTACTCATTTTGTGCGGAAATTAAAGACAGTTTATGATGTTCCATACGAGTCAATAGACACATCTTATGATCATATTGTTTGAAAATATGGAGCTCGAATGGAGTAAACGGAGTATAAACTGGAGAATATTCCACTACATCTGATACTGTAACAATGGACGTGTAAGAAGATTCGTAGTTTAGATAATTAAAAAGAAATAAATAAATAAATAATACGTGTTGTATAGTAAATGGATATATACAAGATAAATAGGGTCGACGTCTCATATGTATGTTATATGTATATATCATAGCTTATGGAAAAAGACGTTCATCATATCTTCTACCCACCAATCAGTGTGTGTGTCATTGTTTTGTTTGAGTGATAAAGATTCCTTGATAGATTAATTTGTCCTAGATTTATATGGTTATAATTATATGTAATAACACGTAATTCATCGAGTGCAACATATAATAAACCTTTAATAATCTCAAAAAGAGTATATATAATCATATATGTAACATGTAATTCTTGCTCGTTATAATAAATTCTTAAGCTAAGCTTGAGCTCGATTATTATGACATAAATATATAAAAAATCAAGCTCGGTTCACGTTCCGCTCTGATGCACACAACTTTGAAAGAACAATAAAAATTCGAACAAATTTGAAAAATCGGTAATATATAATGCAAAATAGAATAAACCTTTCACAACTACAAAGAGAGTACAACTTTTCAATATTTAGAGAGGTGACACCCACCCCCAAACACACACACACACACACACACACACACATATATATATATATATATATATATATATATATATATATATATATATATATATATATATATATATATATATATATACATATATATATATATATATATATATATATATATATATATATATATATATATATATATATATATATATATATATATATATTCTAGATGTAATGAGATACAAGTATAAATGCTTTCAATAATGGAGAATAGTTCTTGTAACACTTGTGTTTTATACCAAACAAGACTTGTGAGTTACTTATGAACCAACTTGATCGGGCCGAGCTCAATCATGGGCCGAATCATTTGGCCCATTTTGAGCCCATCTTGCTATTTGGTCATATTTTATCTTTTATGCTAAAATTTATTATAAATATACTCATCAAAACAGATATAAAAATTAATTTAAATTAAATTTGTTTTGACATAATAATATTTAAATTGAATGAGGCATTAATATGTAATAATATTTTATAATGGGGTATTTTTTTGCATATTTGAAAAGTACAAGGGCATGTTTGCAAGTTTTCTTATCCAATTTCACGAGGAAGAAGATAAAAGGAAAAAGGGGAAAATTGAGAATTATCTGCAACGAGGGTTTTTGCTGCTAAACCCTAGTAAACCACAAAGGTCAAGTGTTCATTCAATTCCATTTTCCATTTTCCATTTCACACAATTACATACATATATATATCGTATATTATATGCTATTGATGTTGATTACGTGATTTTTACACGAGAAATTCAAAATCGATTATGGAACCCAAATTCCTGATTTCATCGCACAAAGCTTCGCCTTCAGTCTGCGCTCTTCCGTTTTTCCCATCGCGAAATTCATCGCTGCTTCAGAAACCCAAGTCGTGCCGCTTATCTCTCTCCTCTGAAAAGTTGAAAAAAACTCCATTTTTAGGTCAAAATTTAGTGTTCCGAGAGAGTAATGAATCCTACGCTAATTCGAGGAGCCGTTTTCCTGTTGTAAGAGCTGGTCCTGTGAAGAGAAGGAAAGAGCATCCCTTTGATAACGTAATTCAAAGGGATAAGAAGCTGAAATTGGTACTGAAAATTAGGAAGATTTTGATGAGCCAGCCGGATAGAATAATGGCACTTCGCGATTTGGGTAGGTTCCGAAAAGCTTTAGGGCTGCAAAAGAGGAGGCGGTTTATTGCTCTGTTACGTAAATTTCCCTCCGTGTTCGAGATTGTTGAAGAAGGGGTTTATTCGCTTCGGTTCAGGTTAACCCCCGAGGCGGAGAAGCTTTACCTCGAGGAGATGAAGATTAGGAATGAAATGGAGGATTTATTGGTAATTAAGTTGAGGAAATTGTTGATGATGTCGATTGACAAGCGGATTCTTATAGAGAAGATTGCCCATTTGAAGACTGATTTAGGGCTTCCATTGGAATTCAGCGACACTATTTGCCGTCGGTACCCTCAGTATTTCAAGGTCGTTGCCACCGGACGTGGGCCCGCTTTGGAGTTGACTCATTGGGATCCGGAGCTCGCCATGTCAGCGGCGGAGATTGCTGAAGATGACGAAAGAGAACGAGAAGTCGAAGAGAGGAACTTAATCATCGATAGGGCGCCAAGATTCAATAGAGTGAAATTACCGAAAGGACTTAATCTTTCCAAGGGAGAGATGAGAAGGATCGGTCAATTTCGAGATATACCTTACATTTCGCCGTATTCCGATTTCTCGGACTTGAAAGCAGGTACACCAGAGAAAGAGAGGCATGGGTGTGCAGTTGTACACGAGATCTTGAGCCTTACGGTTGAGAAGAGAACACTCGTCGATCATTTAACTCATTTTCGAGAGGAGTTTAGATTCTCTCAGCAGCTTAGAGGGATGTTGGTTAGGCATCCAGATATGTTCTACGTGTCTCTAAAGGGGGATCGGGACTCTGTTTTTCTGCGCGAGGCGTATAGAGATTCTCAATTGATTGAGAAAGATAAGATGTTGCTCGTTAAAGAGAAGCTTCGTGCGCTTGTGAACGTACCGAAGTTTCCTAGGAGAAATACTCCAAGGGGTGAAGAGGGTGAAGGAACAGAAACAGAGGGTGGGTCCGGTGAAGATGTTTGGTCGGATATCGAGGATTTGGAAAGTGACGACGAAGATGAAGAAAATGATGAGGGCGAATGGAGCGAAGATGACGAAGAAGATGATGATGTGCCGCCAGATTTTAATGGTGAAGAACGTGATGCATTACCGAGATATAAACAGAGCAAACCGACTGAGAAAATTAATGGCTCGAAGAAGAGTGATGAAGAAGTTCTTGATCCTGTCTTTCCAGATGGCCGACCGAGAGAGCGTTGGTGATAACAATGAGGTTTATTTGCGACTCGGAACATGCTGTAACAGAGGAAGGGGTCGATTTCCGTCAGTTTCCTTGGTCAGTATCTATAATATTTCTCGAGAAATCTTGAATTAGGTATCTTTATGTGATTTTTTAGGTCTAAGGAGCAACTTAGGAACTGAGATTTGTGTAGTTGCTGCTTGTTTTTGATGCTATATCTCCCTTTTGATAATCTTGTTTACGAAATGTGCTATTGTGTAGAATTATTCATCCATATGATATATGCGTGAGAATTGTATGTTTTTCCGTCGTGTTTTATTTCTTTGTTCGATAATTAGTATGCTTTCTAAAGGATAAAAATGTCCAGCTCATTATTCTCCGTACACTGGTTGAAGTTGCCTCCTACTGCAGAGATAGGATTAGCACTATTATTAGACAGGGATGCGATAAATGCTTTTGATAACCTACTAAAGGGTAAATTATTATCAAAATCGACGATATAGTGAAGTTTCTTAAAGAGTTGTTCTAGGAAAATTGTTTTTTTAATATTATGTGTTCTTTGATTTAGCGATAATTACAAATCCCTTTGCCGACTTTATAATCTTTTTTATTCGTAAAAGCGTGGGGGACCTCAAGATCTCTAGAAAAGCAAGGATTCCATGCAAAGAAAATCGCAAGATTTTGTTTTTATTGTCGACTATTACAGTGTTTACTTATTGTTTGAGTATTAGAAGTGGGGTTTCTTGAAAATGCATGCCACCTGCCCCTATTAATTAATAGTTTGCTCTATTGTTTAATATCATTTAGCTTTTAGCAAAAGGCACAGCTAAAGATTATGAGACGCGGCACCACTGAAGTTTCTTACAGCGATCTCTCATCTTTGCGTGATTTATCCCAAAAAAAAAAAACACGGGAGATTCGGGAAACTCAGAAATGGAATCAAATCTGATAAAATAATTGATTTATCTGATGTGCTTGAGATGCTTTGATTCTTATTTTTTATTTTATTGGGAGAGTTGACTTGTGTGTTTTCAGGGGCCAAGCTCTTTGGATAATGAATCGAACGAATCTTTGTTTCGCCACTCATGTCAAGTGCCAAATATGTTAGGGTCCCACCAAACCTTTTTTTTTATTTTTTAAAAATTTTGTCGGCACTCGGGTTTTCCGGCTATAAATAGGTTTTCACCTCAGTTGAAAATATATCAAACTGAAAAATCCAGATTATATTGCATTCGACGAAAAGATTGTCGAAGCATGGATTGAAGATATGTTAGCACCATGGGAGCTTATGTTCTCTCTCCCTTAAAGGCTTCTGCTTTTTTGCATATTCAGAATGAATGAATGTGCTGCTCAAGAAGCACAGAACCTTTTTTGGGGGAGGGATCAAAATCTGTCATGGTTTTTTCTCTCTCTGCAATATATATATATATATATATATATATATATATATATATATATATATATTTCTTTATGTGGTTTCTTGATGTTTGAAGGGGTGAAAAGGTAGTGTTATAAAGAGGGCTAAGTACTTACCTTTACCTATAAAGTTAGGGGGCAACTATTTCAAATACTAACTTTTGCTTACTTGAATACTACTAAGTTTAAAACCAAAATTGAATACATATTTATCAGTTTTTTCTTACTTTAATACCAAAATAAAAAGAAAATTACAAAAACACCCTTTCATACAAAATATCAATTATATCAAATTTTATTAGAAATTACCTAATCAAAAATCAAATAGAAAAAAATCCATTTGTTGTAAAAAAAAAACCTCCAACCCTCTCCAACCCTCGCCGCCGCCGCCGCCGCCGCCGCCGCCGCCGAACGCCACCGTATGCCGCCGCCGCTTCTTCGTCCATTGTTATCAACCCGCCGCCGCTTCTTCGTTCCGGTTTCATTCATCCAAGTAATAATTTATTTCGAATTTTTTTTCTTTAATATTTACTTAGGATTTGATTGTTTTAGGTAGAAATGATCGTTAATTAGTAATGGGTGCATCTAATTTCAGTCGATTTGAGCATTGATTTGAGATTCGTGGGTTGGTTCTTCGTTCACAATTTTCGACCTGTATA